AGAAGAAATGGACAGATTTCTAGAAATATACCACTTACCTAAACTAACACAGACTGAGGTGGAAAATTTGAACAGACTCATAACAAAAGAAGAAATTGAAGAAGTCATAAAAAAAATTACCCACAGAAAAAAGCCCTGGCCCAGATGGTTTTACTGGAGAATTCTACTGAACGTTCAGAGAAAAACTGACACCAATGCTACTCAGACTATTCCAGAACATAGAAAAGGATGGAATTCTCCCAAATTCATTTTATGAAGCAAGCATACTCTTGTTACCAAAACCAGGCAAAGACATCACTAAAAAGGAATATTACAGACCAATATCCCTCATGAATATAAATGCAAAAATCTTCAACAAAATCTTAGCCAAAAGACTCCAACAACATATCCAAAAAATTATACATTAGGACCAAGTGGGGTTCATACCAGGTTCGCAAGGATGGTTCAACATTAGGAAAACAATCAACATCATCCATCACATAAATAAAACAAAGGTAAAGAACCACATGATCATATCAATCAATGCAGAAAAGACATTTGATAAAATCCAACACCCATTCCTGATAAAAACTCTCAGCAAAATAGAAATAGAAGGGACATCCCTTAACATAATAAAGGCATATATGCAAAACCAACAGCCAACATTATTCTCAATGGAGAGAGACTAAAATCATTCACTTTGCAAACAGGAACCAGACAAAGATGCCCTCTATCACCACTTCTATTCAACACTGTATTGGAAGTCCTAGCCAGGGCAATAAGGCAAGAAAGGGAAATCAAAGGCCTCCAAATTGGTAAGGAAGTAAAACTATTCCTATTTGCTGACGATATGATCCTATACCTAGAAAACCCAAGAGACTTAGCAAGAAAACTATTGGAACTAATTGAGAGATTTAGCATAGTGGTGGAAAACAAGATCAATATCCAAAAACAGTTGGATTCCTTTACACCAGCAAAGAGATTGCTGAAAAGGAAATAAGGAAATCAATTCCATTTCAATAGCTACCAAAAAAATAAAATAGTTGGGAATAAATCTCACTAGGGACACAAAAGTCCTGTACAAAGACTACAAAACACTACTTCAAGAAACCATAAGAGATTTACATAAATAGAAGAACATACTATGCTCGTGGATCGGAAGATTGGAATACTATAGACCAATATCCCTCATGGATATTTTGTGTAAAATGTCAATACTAGCCAAAGCAATCTGATACATTTAATGCAATCCCAATCCAGATCCCATCAACATTCTTTAAGAATTTTATATGGAAAGGAAAGGGACCTCAGATAAACATAGCACCATTGAAGTTGGAGCTCTGGTGGCATAGTGCCTAAGGCATTTGACTGCTAACTAGAAGGCTGGCAGTTCAAACCCACCAGCCACTCCTCAGAAGAAGATTGGGCAATCTACTTCCGTGTAGATACCGCCTCGGAAACCCAAGGAGGGGTCATTATGCGTCGAATTGACTTGATGGCAGTGAGTTTGATTTGTTTTTTTTAATGGCTAATAATCATGAACATTTCTTCATGTGTTTGTTCTCTTTGGTGAAGTATCTATTCATGTCTTCTGCCCATTTTTGAATTGGATTGTTAGTTTTTTTGTTGTTGAGGTGCTGGAGTTTTCTATACAATTTAGAGATAAGCCCCTTGCCAGATATGTCATTACCGAATATTTTTTCACAATCTGTAGGTTCTCTTTTTACTGTTTTGGAGAAGTCTTTTGAAGCACATAAAGATTTAATTTTTAGAAGGTCCCGTTCATCTAGTTTCTCTTCTGCTGTCTGTGCATTTTGCGTTATGCTTGACAGTCTATTTATGCCATAAATTGTTGTTGTTGTTGTTATGTGCCATCGAGTCAAATCCGAATCATAGCAACCCCTCCTCGGGTTTCCGAGGCAGTATCACTACGGAAGTAGGATTGCCCAACCTTCCTTCCAAGGAGTGGCTGGTGGGTTTGAACCGCCAGCCGTCTGGTTAGCAGGCAAGTGTCTTAGCCACTATGCTACCAGAGCTCCCATGCCATAAATTGTTGTTGTTATTTGCCGGGCCCTTAAATTTGCTCCTATTTTTTCCTTGTGGAACTTTTTAGTTTTAGGTTTCATATTTAAGTCTTTGATCCATCAAACAATTTTATTTTCCCTTTTTTTTTGTTTTTGCCTTAGTAATGTCAATGTAGGTATTAATTTCCAATTTTGACATTGGACCAAACCAATACATTTATTGTACACCTACGATTTACCAGGCACTGTGTGAATTACAAGTATCTTTGGTGATGCAGTTGTTAAAGCATTTGGCTGCTGACCAAAAGGTTTGAGGTTTGAACCTACCAGCTACTCCAGATGAGGCAGCCGGCTTCCATAAAGATTTACAGCCTTGGAAATCCTATGAGGGCAGTTTAAAAGTTTCAATGAATTGGGATGGCAGGGTTGTGAAGTACAAAAATTTATAAAATATGGCCCTTCCCTGAAGAAGCTCAGTCTAGCTTCCTACTTTACTAAAACTGTCAGTACTAAGGTGCAAAAAGGGCAAGGAGGCCACATATTCCGACCTCTTCTAACACCACAAAAGGAAGACAGTCACCATCAATAACCCACGGCCTATTCCTGCCAGGCCAGACATGCTGCCTCCCTCCAGCCCTTTCTCCAACCGTTCCTCCCAAAGCACCCACCACCTCTCTCCTTGGTTCGATAATTCGCTGCAGTGGCCACACAGAGCTCACAGATTATGGGGTTTATTAGGGAAGCACCACAGGCTACAATTCAAGTTCAGGAAAAATGCTCAGTCTCTCCCCCAGCCCACCGTCCCTCAGCCAACACTCTCTCACAGTCTCTTTCCAAGCTGTGCTGGTCCCTCGGTGTCTCACTCAGCAATGCATGTCTCTTGCTTCTCTTTCTCAGTAACACATGTCTCAGGAGCACGTGTCTCTTTCAGCAGCATGTCTTCCTCAACCAGCAGTCAGAGAGAGTTCTGCCTCTAGGAGGCCTCCTTTTGAGCTTGGCAGAGTGGCCAAACCAACCAATGATAACAGAATTCTAAGCACCTGAGAGTGAGCCTCCCATAACATTGCATTGTGCCACGCCCAACAGAAATAACCCTGGTAGATAACATTTACAATCAGGAGCTCCTCAGTTGCTCATTCCACCACTGAGTTTACAATGACTTATGGGTAGAAAAGCCATACTAAGTAATTTACTACACTGCATAAGGTAATGTTGATTAGCAGCTTCCAGTTACTTCCTGAAATTTGTAAATATTTATAGAATGGTTATTATTTATTGGGAAATGTATGGATATATGATAATATGAAAATGCACATTTTATTATAAGTTTTGCAAATTATTCTCTGGTTGTACTTGCTGAAAGCATTTAATCTTAATTTGATGTACCAGTCAATTTATGTATCTTGTACATGTATATCCACAAATCTTTTCATCAGTCTTACAAGAAAAATCATCAAAGTGACATATGTGCATCATGTATCACCAATCACAAAATAAATAATCAAATATACGTTATAAAACTTTAAAAATATATGCCCAATTCAACCTCATAAATTTCTATTTTAGACCTTTATGCAGTATTTACAGAGTAGCAAAAGAAAGTTTTTCCATACCTTTTAGAAAAGTATTATAAGTATTTCCATATTTCTAGTCATGATGTTTAATTTTAATGATTTATATTCTGTTTTGGTTACCTGGTGCCACTCTGACAGGAATATAGCACAGATGAGATGGCTTTAACAAACAGAAGTTTATCCTTACAATTTTGGAGGCCTGAAGTCCAAGTTCCAAGTGCTAGGCGTTAGTGGCTGTGTGAAACCCCCTCAACCTTGGGCTTCAGCTCTGCCTCTTGCTCACAGTCCACTGAAGCTAGAGCCATCTCTTTATTCAGGCAGCTCACTGGCTGCTGAGGCTAACAAGCCCAAGGTGGACAAATAAAATGGCACAGTCTCAGATGTTACCAAACCACATGGCAGGCCATTGTTTCAAGCCCATCGAAAGTCCCAAGATCTGCAGAGCCTGGCAGGCTGCCACACGCTGGGTTCAAGCCTGCCATCAGCTGGAGACCTTCCTCAAAGGTGCTTCTTATACAGGGGAAGCAGCCCACATCTCTCAAACTCAGCTGCTTCAGTAGATTCCACCAGGCAGTTAACTACCAATCTTACCATGGGGAGTAACTACAGCCAGCTGCCCAGCCACTCAACCAGGCCCAACCAAGTTAACACACAAAATTAACTACCCCAGAGTCACGGTAAATAACTTTAATGAGTATATCACTGATATTTACATAAAAATAAATGGAATTTATTGGAATCAAACAATCCAATACCGTCAAATCCTTTCGCTATTTACAACTTTTGTGGAGGTAAATTTCCTTTTGTGTCTCAGTTTTTCCTCAAATCTTGAAAGATGAATTATTACGCCCATTGCAAAGATTAAGTTTTAAAGTGCCACAGTTCAGCAAGCTAGTTTGCGTGTTGGTATTCTTGATTTAAAAAAAAATAAAGGGGTACTAACAGCAAATTTACAAATTTAAAGGCTGGAATAAAAAGTACGAAATCCCGAAACACAGTTTCTCCTCCCACTATTGACTTTAGAGTAAAACATTCTCTCGCGAATTGTAAAGCCTCTGTCTTCGATTTTGTAGTAAGAACTACTCCGCGAGTAAGTGGTTACCCGAGGAAGAGCGTCCGTAGAAGCTTTCACGCCCCACTAAGGTTGGCTGGGTCGAACCCTGGAGCTAGGCTGGTCGCGAGGTCTGTAGTTGGGGTTGTGCTAGCCTTGGGTAGGCAACTGCGGAAGATTCCCTTCTCGCAGCCTGTGTGGACCCTAGTTAGAATACACAGAAGACAACAAAAAGTGACAAGACTTTAGGACTTGACCCACGGCAGGACCACCCCCCAACAACGGCCTCCGCACGCGGGGGAGCTGTGCGCAGGCGCGGCAGTTGTGCGACATCCGTCACTTACGGCCGAAGCGGTTCGTGCTGGGAGTTGGTGGCGCGGTGCAGGGCTCTTAGGAATCAACGGCTGGGGCGCGGGTAATCAGTTCCCTTTCCTTCTTTCCTTACCAGTTCTAGGTACTTGGGACTGCTGCGGAGCTTCTGGAACTGATGCGGGCGCCCAATCATAGACTGTCCCATCCTGCGCCTCTACTGCTCCCTCGCCCAGGTGGGGGTGAGGGGCGGGGTCGGGGGCTGGGCTGGACTTCATCCTGGAGTGTTGGTGTTGAAATCTCCCGGGTAACTCACGCCTCTTCTTCTTTTTCAAGACTGGTTTCCCGGGACTGTGGCTTGCAGGGTCCGCCATGGAGCCAGAGCAGATGCTGGAAGGACAGACGCAGGTACCAGGAGGCCTTGGATTCAGGGTGGCTTTGCTCAGGATTGCAGCGAGAAAGCCGGCTGATGGCTCTGTGACATCTGTGATGTCTTTGTTTTTTAGGTTGCAGAAAATCCTCATTCTGAGTACGGTCTCACAGACAACGTCGAGGTAACTCGCTTATAGTTCATGTGCCGCATTTGTGCGTCTCGTAAGAGTTGGAGAAAACTTGGGATCCGTTTTTGTTAGGCTGGCTTTGCACAAGGGAAAACTTTATCATTATCTGACTACTATCAAATTATAGGTAGCTTGATTTACTAGCAGAAATGATATTTAATTGTATAAAGACGTAAAATTAATTTTGAGCCAAGAGTTGAACTTTTAATGTGATGATAAGAAACAAACACAAATTACTAAGAGTAACCGTCAGAATCATTTTGCTTGGTGGCTGTTAATGAATTTCTTGCAACATTGCTGCGTAAAAACTGCAAATATTAAAATTAAACTCATTGGTCTTTGTAATGTGGTCGTGAAGTCAACATTTAATGTTTATTTCTTTGTAGTTCTATAGTAGGTGCCGTTGGAAGCTGTAACACACATAGTAGACAGTTTTTGCTTTACATGGTTCAGCCTGAATTGAGGCAGTACATGAGAAAAACATACAAAGTATACTTTTAATAGCTTTTCCATTTAAGTGCTAAGAGCTATTTTTCTAAAGATGGAAGATAAAAAAATAAACGCTGGAACAAATGAATTGACCAGAGCTCTGTGGAGTTAGGAAAATAGCAGTTTCCTGGAAGAAAAAATCTGCGTGTTTTATTAAGAAAAAAAGAAAGAAAGAAAAGACGTTAACAATGATTAAGTTTGAAGGAAGGAGGGCAGAACATTCCCGAGCAAAGTAATAGGACTGAAAGCTGCTAACATTTGCTTAGCTCTTTTACTGTGTGCCAGATACAGTCCTAGGTAATTTTCATGTATTTTAATGCTTAGAAAGACGTGGTATTCTGCCTCTGTAAAGATTTACTGCCTTGGAAACCCTATGGGGCAGTTCTGCTCTGTACTATAGGGTTACTATGAGTCAGAATCGACCCGACACCATTGGGTTTGGAAGGCTTAGCGAGCGAAATAACTTATCTAAGGTCACCAGGTGGCTAAGGCACTTGACTGCTAACCAGAAGGCTGGCAGTTCAAATCCACCAGCCACTCCTCGGAAGAAAGATGGGCAATCTACTTCTGTAGTGATACTGCCGCGGAAACCCAAGGAGGGGTCGCTATGAGTCAGGTCCGACTCGACGGCACATAACAACAACAACAAGGTTACCAGGCAATAAGTGGTGAGCTGCGTTTCCAATCAAGATAGGTTGACTTATTTGAGGTAGGCTTAAGTTATATTGCTGATGAATGACTAACTCCTAGAGTTCACTAGAATGACTACTCTGTGTCTATAATATTGCTAGCAATGTTTGTTGGTTTGGTATCAGTATTAGGAGAACCTGTCTCTTCATAATGCAGTTTTTGATTGAAGTGCTATGGCAAATAAACTATACAGTATTTTGTGATATAGTCATTTAAGAGGTTTACTTTTTTTTTGGCATCAGCACACTCTTTTCTTGATAGTGCCTGTATATGAAGGCAGAGCTTTGATACCCTAGAGTGGGGATACTCAAATGCTAGTTCCCAAATTCTCAGACCAAATGAGAAAAAATAAGGACAGTGGAGTAAGATTTTGATAATGGTAAAACAAACAAACAAAAAACTTATTATTGTTTTCGGTATTCAGTGATTGGTTTTTCATTCTTTTATGGTTTTAAAATGTGTTTTTATAAATTGTGGTAGTGAGATAGTCACTATGTTATTTATTTGTTTTTTAAGTTTTAACCTGGCAAAATAAAAAGCCAAAAGTTCTACGTTAGTCCCTTCATTCATCATCTTTTATTTTTTTTAAATTTTCTTGTCTTTATAGCTGAAAGTCTGGGAACTACTACTCTACGGTGATTGCTGCTGCCGCTTTTTTTTTTAATGATGCCATTTTATTTCCCTTATTGGCTTATTGTAAGTTTTGTTTTGTTTTTAAATGGATGCTTTGGGGTTTATAGTATACATCTGTAACTTAACACAATTTACTTTCAATTAATATTAAATCATTTTGTGTGTAATATACAAACCTTAAAACAATGTTCTTCCATTTTCTCCTTCTGCCTTTGTACTATTGTTGTTATAGGTTTTACTTCCACATGTGTTATAAACCCCACAGTTCATGGTTTTTATTTTTTCTTTAAACAGTTATTTACCTTTTTTTTTAACTGGTGAAAATATACACAACAAAACATTGACCAATTCAATTTCTACATACATAATTCAGTGACATAGATTACACTCTTCCATGTTGCACAGTCCCTATCACTATCTTATTCCTAATTGTTCTACTATGATTAACATAAATTTAGTGCCCCCAAGCAAAAACTCTCCCTTTCCTTCAGCATTCTTAGCCCTTGTAACCCCTAATAAGCTTTGGTTTATATGTATTTTTTCTGTTTCATATAAGTGAGGTCATACTCTATTTGTTACGTGACTGACTTATTTTCACTGAATGTAATGTTTTCAAGGTTCATGGAAGTTGGGGCATGTATCAGGACTTTATGGCTAAGTAATAACACGTTGTATATACCACATCTTTTAATTTTATTTACAGAATTATTATTTTAACTTTTTATTATAATTTTAGTGAAAGTTTACAGAGAAAGTTGGTTTTCTGTTCAACAATTCATTTTGTTTTGTGATGCTGATTACAATCCCCCCCAGTGTAACCACACTCTTCCCACTTTCTGTGATTACTGTTTCCATTCATCCTTCCTTCCAATCCCTTTCTGCCTTTTGAGCTTTATTCCTGAGCAGATGCTGCTCTTTTGATATACCACATCAGTTGATGGACATTTTGGTAGTTTCCACCTTTTGGCTATTGTGAAAAGGGCTGCAATGAACTTTGGTCTACAGGTTTCTGTTGGTGTTCCATAGTTAGCCTTAAGGAGATTGAAACAACAAGACAAATAATGAGTGTTTCATATCTAACCGTATATTTACCATTTCTAGGGCTCTTTGTTCTTTTGTGTAGATCCAGATGTCTATCTGGTATCATTTTCCTTCTGCCTGAAGAGCTTCATTTAATATTTCTTGTGGTGCAGAGCTGCTGGTGATGAGTTCTTAGGCATCTGCTTTAAAAACTTATTATTTTGCTTTACTTTTTTGAAAGATACTTTTACTGGGTGTAGATGTTGCTCCTAGCTGACATTGTTTCTGATCAGAAGTCTGATGTTCTTACTTTGCTCCTCCATCTGTATGTGTTTTGATGCCTTTAAATAATTTGATTATGATGTGTCTTGGTATAGTTTTTTTTTTTTTTTTTAATGTTTGCTGTGCTTGGGTGTCATTGAACTTCTTGGATATGTGGGTTTAGAATTTTTATCAAATTGGGAAAGATTTTAGTCATTATTTCTTAAAACATTTTGTTACTTTTTAGTACGTTCTATTCTTGAACATACGGAATGTATTTATAATAACTATCTTAATGGTCTTGTCTGTGCTATTTTCTGTATCATCTTTGGGTCTGTTTCTGTGTTCATTTTTCTCATTAAGGGTAGTATTTTCCTGTTTCTTTGCCTGACAGTTATTTTTTTTTTCTTCAATTGGATGCTGGGCATTTTCCATTCATGAGTGATAGGAGTATGAACTTACTCCAGCGTAATGTGAGCTCTGAGGATTGTTCTGCCTGTTCCTTTCAGGTGTTTTTTTCCCCCCTGGCTGGGGGTAGTTGCCTCACACACATGCATTTGTAAGTATTTGCTTGGCATTGTAAGTATTTGCTTGACTGGAAGGCAATCTCTTTAGTCTCTGTGCAGTTTTCTCCTATCTATGCAGTTCTCCTTTTTGGCCCCATAACCTGCAAATTCTAGTTATCTTTGTCTCCCTGAATTCTCAACTCTGTCTCAACTCAGGAAAACTGCTGAGCTGTGCTTGGGGTTCCTCTCCCTGTGCCGTGTCTTAGAAACTCTCCACAATTAGCTAGGGCAATCATTTGTAGGGCACATTACATCTTTTTGTGATCATTGCTCTGTACTCTTTTTTGTTTGGGTATTTTAGATACTCTATTTTTAGATTAATCTAGGATTTTGAGTTAACTAAAACTAGGCCTAGAATTTGGCACATAAAAATAAAACCAAACTCATTGCCATTGAATTGATTTGACTCATAGCGACCCCTCCTTGGGTTTCTGAGGCAGTATCTCTATGGAAGTAGATTGCCCAGTCTTTCTTCCAAGGAGTGGCTGGTGGGTTTGAACCGGCAGCCTTCTGGTTAGCACTCAAATGCATTTGGCACATAGGCATTCAGTAAATGCTTGAATGAAATAATTGAGAGGATCTGGTTAAGTAGTAGTATTATAAATATTATAGAATCTATAGGAGGTGTGTAGCATTGCTGTTTCTTACTGTAGGCATTGGAATGTCATGTAACTGACTACATTTTGTATAAAAGTGCTGTGACAGGATGTTAGAAAATAGATTCTATCTAGCATTTTGGAGTTTGTCTCCTTTAAGATGAAATTCTGAGCATAGTGAATTTTGATTTAGGCATTCAGAAAAAAACACATTCAAAATAATATGACAGTTTTTGGAAGTATCAAGTTGTATTGTCTTTTTTGCAATGGAAAGTTGAATTTTATAGTCTTGATTAGACTTTCAGAAATGAGAATGTGGTATAAGCTCTGTCTGATGAAATTTATTGCTGAATGATACATTTCTCCATCCAGGGCCAAATAGCTATTTTATAGATTAAATAGACTTTATAGGAGAGTTATTATCAAATTAAGTTCCAGAATTAGATTGAGAAATGATGGCATAACTAGAAAACTTAACTATTACATATTTGGAAATTATCTTTGGAAGCTGTGGTATGAATGTTGAAGATAAATCTCTAAAATGTCTAACTCGCTGCCATCGAGTCAATTCTGATTCATAGCGACCCCCATTGGGTTTCTGAGGGGTAGATCTTTACAGAAGTAGATTGCCCCATCTTCCTTCTGTGGACTGGTTGGTGCGTTTGAACCTCCAACCTTGTGGTTAGCAGTCAAATTCCTTAGGCACCGTGCCACCACAGCTCCTTATGTTGAAGATAGG